ATAATAGTGCACGCTGGTAGTTGAAATGGATTAGTCGACGACGCATTGCTGATTTTTAAATCGGATTCGAACACGGAGGATTATCACGGAGATATGAACTCTACTAATTTTTATAATTGGGTAGATCAAAAATTGATTCCTAAACTCCCACCAACCGTCATTATGGATAATGCAGCCTATCATTGTGTGCAAGTAGAAAAGAAACCAACTATATCAAGTTTGAAGTTCAATGCAAAACTAGTTGCAGAATCACGACATGCCATAAGTTCCCACCATGGTTAAAGCCGAACTTTTGAGATTGATTAATATGATGCAAACAGAAAAAAATACCTTCTGAAAGCTGCAGGTCATACTGTCCTAAGGCTATCTCCGTACCATCCAGATCTAAACCCGATTGAACTCGTGTGGGCAGATATTAAAAATAACCTGGCTAGAAATCACATTAATGCACCATTAGCCGAAACAATTACTATACTCATAAGGTTATTTCTGAATTCTCTGTCGCAAAATGGCAGAATTGTAATGACCATGTCCAAAAAATTGAACAAGAATACTGGAATCATGGTATGACGTTTGATAGTGTGATAGACGAAATCATTATAAACTTACAAGATGATTCAGACTCAGATCCAAGAAGTTCAGAATCAAGTGATATTGAGGATATGTTGTATAATAGGTTCGCCATTATTACTTATTCTAGTGCTACATATACCTAATACTTTGTTGCCTCAATCAAATTTATTATTATTTTAATGTATCATCATCATCACTACAGCCCTTTACAAGTCCACTGCTGAACATAGGCCTCCCCCAAGGAATGCCACAAAACACGGTCCTGAGCCACCTGCATCCATCGACTTCCTGCATATCTTACCAGGTCGTCACTCCATCTAGTGGGAGGACGCCCTACACTTCGCCTGCCGGTACGAGGCTGCCACTCGAGAAACTTTTTCCTCATTGGTTGTCGGTTTTTCGAGCTATATGGCCGGCCCATTGCCACTTCAGCTTATTAATCCGTTGGGCTATGTCGGTTACTGTAGTTCTACTGCGGATATCCTCATTTCTAAGTTTATCACGCAGAGAAACTCCGAGCATAACCCTCTCCATAGCTTGCTGATTGACCTTGAGCTTCCTCATCCGGCCAGCAGTAAAGGACCACGTCTCAGTTTCATATGTCATCGCTGGCAACACGCACTGGTTGTACAGTCTCGTTTTCAAGTTTTGAGGAATACCTGACGGGAAGAAGTGCCGTAATTTCCCGAACGCTGCCCAAACGAGTTGAATCCGTCAATTGACCTCTCGGTCGAAGTTGAACTTACCTAGTCGCACTATTTGTCCCAGGTAAACATACTCGTCAACAACTTCGAGCTTAGTGATCCCAACAACTACCGGCATAGGTGTGACATGGACATTAAATAGGATCTTTGTTTTGTCCATGTTCATCTTAAGACTTATCCGTTGGGAAACACTATTGAGGTCATTGAGCATAGTGCTTAGTTTCTCCAGAGATTCTGCCATAAGGAGTATATCGTCGGCAAATCGAAGGTGAGTGATGTACTCGCCATTGATGTTAATAACGTGTCCTTTCCAGTCCAGTAGCTTGAAAACGTCAGTCAATGCAGGGGTGAAGAGTTTCGGGGATATAACGTCACCCTGTCTTACACCTCTCTGCAATTGGATAGGTTTCGTACTCTGGTTCTGTACTCGGATAGCCATCGTAGCCCTACTGTACCTGCTCAAAGTTCAAAAACTTTATTAAACTAAGTTTGTGTAAAAAGGGTTATTATAATATTAATGAATTTATAGATGATAATAACCCCTGGAAATGAGGTGATCGCTATTTCTAATTTATTGTGTTGTTAATTTGTGTAACATACATGATTGTAAGCTGTTATTTAAAAAAAAAAGTCCCGCTGGGTTTCTTGCTGGTTCTTCCCAGGACAGAGGTTTTTTTTTTGAACCAGTGGTAATCATACAAAAGAGTGACTTTCAATAAGTATTATTTATAATCTATATTGAATAAAAAAGTTTCTGTTTCTGTTGCGTAAGTCCCGCCGCATGCATTTGGAGATCTGTCTGTTCAGTTGCCTGTATGCTGTCAAATCTACTGAAGACTGCAGATTTATATCCCGTCTAACAGCCATGAGATTAAGAGTGTGATCAGAGAGTTTTTGTGTTCTTCTGCGGCGGGTCTTGCAAAACTTAGCTCCCACCGCATAGACAGTTTCCACGAACTTGTCATTCATATCGTCCACTGCATAAGCTTGCTATTTTGCTATTATCAGAAAGATACTGCTGCCCATCCTCTGCCTCAGCTTCCCAGGAAACTGAGGCACCTGAGGAAACGACACCCACGGGAAGACATGTGATAGTCCCGCCACACACTATTTTAATGTAAATATATATTAAAAATACTTTAAAGTTATAATGGTATATGATGGTTATAATGGTATGGATACGTATCTATTTTAGACGAAGTGCGATATCTTGAGATAAATAAATGTGGATGTTGAATAATTAATCTCATGTGCGTCCCGTTCATTAAGCAACCCCCGCCTTACCCCTGTCACCACCTAAGGCGCGGCCAGCTAGTAGCGCGTGGACTATAATGACCACATTTCCTCGGCATTTATTCTACTCTCCTGATTCTTCTTCCATACAAAATGCGACAAGGAACGCTGTAGTCAAAAAGTTTTATGGGCCAAATTGGCGATAAATTGAAAATGGGCCAAATTAAGAGAACCCTTAACCGATGAGAATGTTTGGGTAGGTAGGTAGGGTAGAATGAAAAGGTGAGAGAGGTGTTTTAGGTTCGTAGTCTCTGGCTAACCCACCGGGTGACAGGCGTGGGTTTTTATGTTATTAAATTGTTAATTATTACTACTTTGACAACATGCATCATTGTCTACAATCAGATGAATATTTGTCAGTATCGAAACAAAACTAAATTCAGCCTTGTTCGGCCGATTCAAATAATATATTATGTAAAAGTAAGTTACAGCCTGTATAGGTCCACAGCTGAGCACAAGCCTCCCATTTTCGAGAGAGTTATGAAGTCCGCCATGCTGCTGCTGCGTGTTGGCGGACTTCAACTCAACGACTACGGCGAGAGGCTATTCTCTCATAGAATGTACCGACTATGGCTGAAGATGTGGCTCCTCAAGCCACAGACCCGCAAGCACATTTGGAAGCCGCCATGGATCTTCCTGCTCTGGACGATTCAGGCGATAAAGGTATGGGTGACCATTCACCCATGTGCAGATGATTAGTAAATTGGAGGACGTGATTGTGGAAACGCGTCGTACGCCTCTCGAAAACTGACCGCGACTCCCCCGCATAACATTTAGCAAGCGGAATTGGGATGTCATACTTATGCATACTTTCTCAAATGTGTTCCTTCACCACCGATCATGAGGTAAGCACAGAAAATTGCAATTAACAACTTATGTGATGTGATACGTCAAGCGATGGAGTATTTCATCCCTTTGCTGGCGTGCCCATTGGTGGTAAAGCTTGCCCATGGTTCAACGCCGAGTGCACTCGCGCTAAAAAGCACAAGCGTACTTATCCTGGGTCGATGCTCAAGACCGCAAATCTCCGGATTAGCCTTAAGAAGAGAGCCTTCAAGCAAGCCGCCAAGTCCTGCAAAAATGCATTACGGCAAGCCAGTTTCGACCGCATTAAACGCATCGGTGTAAAGCTCTGTGTCAAACCATCTAGCAGTTGAGCTTTTTGGTCTCTCGCCAAAGCAGTCGAGACAAACTCCTGTCGGTCTATAATGTATCAGCTGGTAAAACCACATGGCTCACTAGCGCATGCGCCTGTGAGGAGAAAGTGGACTTATTTGCTTCTTCTTTTGCTTGTAATTCGCGTCTGGACAGTAGCCACAGCGTACCACCTCAGTTACCTCACTACGGTACCTCTATGTCAGAGGTCCGTATCACCAACAAGGAGGTTCTTAAAACTTAGCGAAGTGTAGACGTGGACAAAGCTAGTGGACCGATGGTATACCAGCTATAGTTCTAAAGGTATGTGCACCTGAGTTGTCTCCTGTGTTGACGCGCTTGTTCCACCTTTCATTCAGGACTGGAATAGTGCCCAATTCTGGAAGCTGACCAAGGTGCAGCATGTGCCTAAAGAAGGTAGCCGTACCGACCCTGCCAACTATCGGCCAATCTCAATTACTTCCATACTCTGCAAGATTATGGAGCGTATATTGAATGCCCACCTCATGACATACCTAGAGCAGAATTATCTCCTCAGTGACCGCCAGTGCGGGTTTCACCGAAATCGATCAACTGGGGACCTTCTAGCGTATGTCTCAACGAAGACTTGCCATATGTGCAGAACAGGATTACAGTGCACGAGTGTGTGCGCAAGCACGTTTGTACTCTCTATTCGCTAACTCTTATGGTCCTATGGGCCGGCCATCCGAAATGACTGGAGAGGTCAGGCGCAGGTCAGGTGCTTTCCGAAGCAAGGGTGTCTAACACAGCCAACTTCCTGATTCCGGGCTGCTACTGAGAATTTCTTGAAAGAAAAGTCCAAAAACTGATTTTTCGTCCAACCCAGGAATCGAATTCTGAACCTATACCAACGAAGTGGTCAATTATTTGATAATCTACGCATGTTGTAAACATCAGGCAGCCCTAGTCTATATTCTAAGTCTATGTGTGAACCGTAGTTTAATTTTGACATTGACAATCGCCTAAGGGTATTAGTGTTCTGTGTTGACAATTGACTGACAATTTGATATCACATGACATCACAGAGTACCTTTAATGACATTTTATTTTATCATTTGATTTGGTAATCAAGAAGAAATTATTACAGAATATTTAAGTGGGCATTTTTCTTGCTATTCATTATTTAGTGATCTTCACTTATGGTACCAAAATTAAATCTGTCACTGGTTGAATAATGTAGTAGAAAACTGCAATATTGCACCATAATAACATTTCTTGCACGGTTACAAATGAGGAGGATTATACACAAGAATAATGCCTTCTCATGAAGAGGAAGATAAGCCTTGCAGAGCTTGTACAGATTTTAAGACATGGGCTAAGCAGCAGAAGCCAAAAAAAATAACAATCAGTCCTCCAAATGAACCGGTAAGGTTATGAAATTAAATATAACATTAAAACATATTTGTTAAATAAATATCTATATGTTATTCTCCCTTTCATGTTGTAATTTATAAAATTACATGAATTTTAGAAAAACTTACCTTAAAGAATTGACAATGTTAATGGTGGTGTATGTATATCCACTGCCCCTTATCTTCCCGTGGGTGTTGTAAGAGGCGACAGATAGAAACTAAAACAGGAGATTTTCAGCAGCATCTTTCTGAAAACAAAAACTTCTTCAAAATAATAAAAAACTGCATTTTCCAACCCGCCTGCCAAGTGTAGCTATTGTGACAAAATTCACCCCATAAGGCAAAGACTATTTTGAGCAATGGACTTTTAAAGGTTGTAATGAAATCGAGTATTACAATATAATAAAATATTTTACTCCTCTCATAAAGTATGTGAATGTAATAATGTATGCATGTCAACTCTGATACAGTAATAGAAAAAAAGCATATATTTCTTCTAGTCACTACAAAAACGAAAAGATTGTCCTCTGGACAAAAATGAGTTGGGACGATCCACTTGGGGCTTTCTACATTCTATGGCTTCATATTACCCTGAAAAGCCCACCACATCACAGTCACAAGACATGGCCAAATTTTTCAACATTTTTGCACAGTTCTACCCATGTGAACCTTGTGCATTAGACTTCCAAGAAGAGTAAGTATAGTTGATTATTTATATTATATAGACAAATGATTTTACATGTTTATCCATTCTCAATAAAATAATAAAAATTAAGATATTATAGAATCATAGTCAGACACAGATGCTAAAATTTATTTATTTCATGTTTTTTTTTAATAAACTGAAGTGACAAACAAACTTACCACCCACCTGATAAGTGGCTACTGTATCTCCATAGGCGCCTGCAGTCAACTTCAAATGGAAGAAGGTTACAGATGCTTGTTACACCTCTGGGGACTAAGATGGAATGCTTCACCACCTGAAGTTATACTGGCTATGTTTCTATTGGTATAGTTCCTCAATTTTAATGAATGTTTTATCCATCCATGAGAATCTATCACTCCATCTCATCCACTGGGTATCTTAAATGTTGACTATGGTAAAGGCTAGAAAAATCTCATCGCTCCTGATAGAAGGCAGTAATAACAATCTTGTTTATGTTACTCATAAACCAGTGACAGGGACCAACTTCAAAGGTGGTAGAAGGCTGGCACTGCAATCGCCAATCCCCTAGCCAAGCGTGGCAATTAGACTCCGGATAAGATTTACTTAGTGCCATATGCCATGGTCTAATATTACATACAGGCCAACTTTGTATAAATTTACAGCCACTAAACACTTCCCACTCCTGGGCACATTCAACTCATTTTTTAGAGTTTTAAGGCTAGGAAGCAGCCCCCTTAGTGGAATGCACATGTTGTTGACATGTTTTGTTATTTTGTGGACAAGCAAATTTCTTTACATTGTTTTCCTTCACTACCTAGCATGTGGTAAATTAGCATTTAGAATTGCAATTAACAATTTCATTGGTCACACACAGGGATATAACCTGGGTTGCTTGCATACTGTGTTATTTACAATGAGCATAGCTCACTCTTCAACTATTTGTATGTTTGTGAGCAATTTAATGCTTCTGCAATCAGATTACTTATCAGACAACCAAATTAGAAAATATGCAATTCTATTCTTTTCACCTTATTCTGTTCTCTGTGTAGTGGTGGGTAAGAACACCCACTACCCCATATCTTCCCGTGGGTATCTTTCTCAGATAACAGCAAAACAACGATAAAAAAGTGCGGTTTTCAACGCTCGCCAAGGGTGGCTAATATGGCAATATACCCCCATGATTAAAATTACGAAGAGACAGCCCCCAGTCCCCGGCGACCCCGCTATTCCTGGTTACGGTGGCGACCATGGTAACGGCGGGGCAGGGGGTTCAAAGAATCTCCAGTGGAGGTTCGATTGCCACCTAAAAGCACTTGACCTGGCAACATAACGCACGCACCCTGAGGACTGATGAGAATATCCTGGAGCTGGAAGTAGAGATTTGTCCCAGATAAACATACTTGTCAACAACTTCGAGCTTAGTGCTCCCAACAACTACCGTCATAGGTGTGACATGGACGTTAAACATGATCTTTGTTTTGTCCATGTTCATCTTAAGACCTATCTGTTGGGAGGCACTATTGAGGTCATTGAGCAGTGCTTAGGTCCTACAGCGATTCTGCCATAAGAACTATATTGTCGGCAAATCAAAGGTGAGTGATGTAATCGCCGTTGATATTAATACCGTATCCTTTCCAGTCCAGAAGTTTGAAAACGTCTTCCAATGCAGCGATGAAGAGTTTCGGGGATATAACGTCACTTTGTCTTACGCTTTGTCTTGTCGTACTCTGGTTCTGTATTCGGATAGCCATCGTAGCCCTCCTGTTCAAACACTTCAGCACTTGTTGGCACCACTGAAGGGACTGCAGCACCGCCCAAATTTCGACGGAATCAAAGGCTTTCTCATAGTCCACATACGCCAGACATAGTGACAAATTGTACTCCTCGGACTTCTGTACAATTTGCCGAAGGGTATGTATGTGTAATGACTCTCAAAAACAGCACGTAGACGCGGCTCAGAAGGGAAATCGGTCTGTAGTTCTTCAAGAGAGCATTGTCACTTTTCTTGAAGAACAAGACCATCGCACTTTTACTCCACGCCTCCGGTGTAGTGCCACCATGGAGGACGGAATTAAAGAGCTTCTGAAGGACTTCAAGTACCGGTTTTCCACACACTTTCAGAAGCTCCGCTGTAATTCCATCCTCGCCTGGGGCTTTGGGACTTTTTTTAAGGTGCTGGAGAGCCATTCTAATCTCGCTCAGACTGACGACCGGAATATCATCGGAATAGTGTCGGATAAGATTTGCTCTTCAAATCTGTTGAAGAATGTAGCTTCATCTCCCGTCTAACAGCCATGAGATTAAGAGTGTGATCGGAGAGTTTTTGTGTTCTTCTGCGGCGGGTCTTGCAGAACTTAGCTCCGACCGCATGGACAGTTACCACAAGCTTGTCATTCATATTGTCCACTTCATTGCAGTTTTCTAGGCACTGAAAACGGTTTTGTAACTCGAGCTATAAGGTTTCGGGACTTTGGAACAGAGCGCGAGGGGGACGGAGCGTTGACTTCATTAGACGAGACCTCTCCAACTTAACGTTCAAGTTCAGTGTGCCTCTAACCATTCGGTGATCGCTACCAGTTTTCACCCTCGCGATCACGGAGACATCACTGAACATTTTTTGTCAAACCGTCGGGGCTCGACCAGCTCCACTTCCTGTGGGGCCGCTTCTGGAAGAAAGAGTTCATCATAAAGAGTCCCTCTTTCTCCATGAAGTCGCCCAGCTGCTGGCCTCTTGGGTTCCGTTGCCCTATTCCAAATTTCCCTACTTTCAGCTCACCGTTGTGCCTAGTTTTGCATTGAAGTCTCCCATAAACACCATATAGTGGGTTTTGGAGGAATGCATGGCTCTAGAGATATCCTCATACATTTCCTCCACCTATGTGTGTATGTGCCGAGGTTGGTGCGTAAACCTGTATGACCTTCAGCGAATACCGTTTGGTGATTCTGAGTATCTACGCAACCCTCGTCGACACACTCTCGACCTTTACAACGTTGTTAACGAGAGACTTGTGGACGATAAATCCGACACCTCCTTGGGACAGATGGTTGCCCTCCCGGTGATAGAGCAAGTTGACGGATTCGAGGATTACCGTGTCCTCCCCCTCTCTTCGGACCTCGGATAATCCTATAATATGCCAGCGTAACTTGTCTATCGCTTCTTCCATCTCCACGATCTTCTCGTCAGTCCTCAGGGTGCGTTGTATGTTGCCAGGTCGAGTCGTCTTAGGTGGCAACCGAACCACCACCGGAGATTCTTAGCACCCCCTGCCCCGCCGTTACCATGGTCGCCACCGTACCCAGGAATAGCGGGGCCGCCGGGGACTGGGGGCCGTCTCTTCGCTACCTTCATCATGGGAGGTATTGCCATAGTTGCCACGCCTGGCGAGCGGGTTGCCAACCGCAGTTTTTTTATTGTAATTTTGCTGTTATCAGGAAGATGCTGCTGCCCATCTGCCTGTTTCCCTTTGTCGCCTTTTACGACACCCACGGGAAGATATGGGGTAGTGGATATTCTTAACTGCCACTACACGGCAGTTGCATTATGGATACATGTCTTATGTTATATATTATGGAGTGACGACCTGGTAAGACATGCAGGAAGTTGATGGATGCAGGTGGCTCAGGACCGTGCTTTGTGGCATTCCTTGGGGGAGGCCTATGTTCAGCAGTGGTCTTGTGATGGGCTGTAATGATGATGAATGATGATTATTTTCACTTTTCCAGCATTAAGAAACACCCACCAAAGACGAAATCAAGGGAGGAGTTAGCAAAATGGCTGTGTGAAAGACATAACACAGTAAATGTTAAATTAGGCAAGCCAGTTTTCGACTGTAGTAAAGTGCATGAAAGATGGCTCGACGGCTGGTCAGATGGCTCATGTGACTAATACTTTCATTTTACAGTGAGAGTGTTGCCATTTACATTACATTATTTATATTGAGACTGATTTCCGTCGTTCTTAACGTTGGGAAATCTTGATTGTTTTTTAATCTGACAGCAGTGTATCCAAAACAAAATGCAGGTTTTGTAAAAACAGAATTAAAATTGTAGTGTGTGTTTTATGACCACAGTATTTTTGCTGTTTGTTTGTATATTTGATTTGTAATATAAATCTAATGGTTTGAGCTCGCTATTGAATTTATGGACATAAAATTTACATTAGTCTTATATAACTATTACTGTTTGCAAAGGCATAATATCTAAAATGGTTTCAAACATTGAGTTATATGTACTACGTACTAGAGAAGCCATTTAAAACAAAAATTGTGTCCTACTCTATGTCTTCGCGCATGCGCGGGAGTAGTAGTCGCGCATGAGCGAAGACTTTAATTTGATATAAAATAAGATATTAATATAAAATATCTTAATTTAATATAAAGAAACATATTATATTTCTAAATAAAATGTAATAATAATTATTTTATGGAATTCTCAAATCTTCAATTTACGCAATATTTAGTTTGTATGGACTGCACTACAGTTCAGTTGAACATAGTCAATGTTCAGAATGGCTTCTCTAGTACGTAGTACATATAACTCAATGGTTCCAAAGATATACTTTTTGTCTTGCATTCACGGAGTCAAAATGCAGGGATAGTTATTCGTAAACTACCATTGCAAGAAGTGAGAAAATTATTGTGATAAATATGTATAGCAACATTGTTACTACCTCTAATTAAATCTTGTATTTGGATGTATTTTAGTTTAGAAGAATTTTTGCAATTTACTGAATATAATAAAATAAAATATGTGGTAATAAATTCAAATGCATTCACTTGTCACTTGTGATGTTTAAATGTCATGTACAGACTTAGTTCAGTGTTATTTGTAAAATGTATAATATACATTGTTTGTTATTTATAATTAAATCACTTTGTTTTATTTTTATTTCATTTTAATAATATTGTGAGTAAATATTGCCATGCATTAAAGTAAGATTCCAGTTACTTTTAGCAACAAATACAGTGTAGACTTCACGCTATTATGATATAGTATCATCATTACTCTTCAATCATCATCACTGCTAATGCAGTAAAAATCTGATGACTGATGAAGACTGATGACATACAGGAAGATGGATGCAGATGGACTACGACTATACTCCCTGTCAATTCTCTTATCTATTTCTTCCACCAAGCAATCTATGGTCAAGGTACTAAGAGCCAGTCAGAATACATTACATACTGATACATACTAATGAATTTAACAAATAAAATACTGAATTCTTGACAAAATTTTATTAATACAAATGCATTGAAATTACATAACTCATTGCCATCAATACTTATACATTAAAGAATACATTTTAGCTTAAACACAACAAAACAAGCGAAGAATGTCATATTCAAAACATTCAGAGTCAAGGACACTTAAAAGTGTTTAGAGTGAGACAAGTCACTGTTTGGTTTGCTCTCATAAGAATTCCATTTCCCTTTCGATGCCAACAAATTTGAGCTGTTCAGTTGGCCCATATCTGCAAACAAAGAAGAATTCTGTATAATATACATTACCTATGACAGGATATTTATTAGTTAATTGTTAGTTTTTACCCTGGCCAAGCGGACCCATTCGTGTTACAACCATAATATAGCTGCAGAATGGCTCTACATAAAGAAAATTTAGCTTTTGCTGTTGCATATGAGAATTCATTCATCTATCTTAGTCCTCACGGGTGACAACGCATCTGCATTTTGATTCTTTATTGAGGATAGATGTAGATGTCTATGGGTCACAGCAACCACTTACCATCAGGTGGACTGTGTGCTCGTTTGTCACCCTATCCTAAAAAAAAGTCTTGCGAACGTTGTAGGTCGCCTAACAGAAAATGCCAAAAGGGCGTTACAGGTGCCACGTGTGGCGATTAAAACAAATCCTTCTAGCTGTGGACGGTATCCATATCCATCAGTAGTCTGATTATGGACTGATGATGAAGATAGAGGACCCATATCAAGCATGGGACTAGTGCCCAAATACTCTAACGCCGTTTAATTTTAAGATGCCGTTAAGCCTCGTGCTGTCTCTATCACTTTAATTCAAAGTGACTGTTACACCAGAGACTTAATGACATCAGTAGCGTTTGAATATTTGGCTATAAATATCAAAAGGCAGAAAATTTACAAATACATTGTTATTTACAATTTTTTATTCAAGCTGTTATATACATAACATTATGAGTCACCAAGGAGGGTTAATATTCTTGCGCTCACAAGATGTCGCTAGGTGGGACTAAGGTGAAGTTATTTGTCACGCATATGACCACATGGTATCATTGAAAAGTTGCGATTAAATAAGTTTTATAGTTTATAGTACATATATATACATAACAATGCCTCGGTGCTGTATTCTTTAATTTTTTACACATTGTTAACTTTTTAATTCTTCTACTTTTAGTAATGTTCATAGTTTGGTTTATACATTTATCGCCTAATTCTTATAAAATATTACTTATAATTAAGAAAGAAACATTAATCTCTACACTTTTGTAATAAATTTACTTGCTCCGATATGCAATCTATTAAATATTTCACCTCATTTCTAAATGGCGCCGTCCGGGTAGCAGATAAAATGCAGATGATGAAAGCTGAAATAATTAATTTAGGCAGCTCTAACCTGTAGTCGAAGAAGAGCTCCTCTCCTGGCTGTATGGCTCGCTTGGCGAAGATGCCGATGCGATGGTCACCGTTCACCATCATAACCTTCGCGTAGCAGTTCGGGTTGATGGAGTGGTTCGCGAAACGGATCTTGTTGCCTTTTCGCGTTGCGTCCACCACAAAATCTTAGCATGATAGAAACAACAGTAATTAAATTAATGAGAAAAATATGCATTACAGTTCAAATGAAATCTAATATAGTCTATTAAATCATTTCTTAAAAAGTTATTTACATGTCTGACTCCTTTTGGGTTAATAAAAAAAGAATCATCAAAATTGGTTCGCTATTAACGAAAATATCGCATAATACCTATCTTTTCTTTGTAACTTCCTTTTATTGAGGACGGTTAAAAAAGGGCACATCTCAACACATGCTACATGGAACAATACAGTGCCGATTTTTATTGGGACAATATTAAGAGCCAAGTCCAAGTATGTGCTTAATAAAAAAATAATATTAAGATTTTTTTAAAGAGTAAGTGTGACAAACGAGCACATAGTCCACCTGATGGTAAATGGATGCTGTTACCCCTGAGGAATAAGATGGGATACCTCGTTTCCAGTAAGAAGGTTCTTCAGTTCTCTACACTCACCATACGAAACACATCAGAATGAACCTGCTATCCATCCTCGGTCGAGCAGACACCCTTTCGTGCCACAACTACAACATAACTGCTGCAAAGCTCTATCACGTACATATATTAACAGAATAATTGTATAAATTAATAAAAAAAAATAAAAATATTTAAATTACACGTTAAGATACAAAAACCAAAACAAACACTCACCGTTATTAAGATTGAATAGAAACGAGCACATATACTTGTCGTAAACTTTCCCGCGCCTATCAGCTTCGTCCTGCGAGATGATCTCCCCGCAGTATTCCGAGATGAACTCATTCTTGTGCGCAGCTTCCTTGAGGAAAATGCCCCAACCGGCCACGTCGGACGGCGCCAGAAGTAAATGCTTATGTAGACCCCTAAAAACAATAAATTATATTAAAATTATGGTGATTAAAACTATGAATGTCGTGAATAATATCTAGAGTGCAAGATGTTTAGTCTGCACGGACATGTTGCGACACGGTCTTCTGCACAGAAGCATACCTCTGCATTGACACATACCTCTGCATTGACACGTATCTCTGAATTGACACATACCTTTGCGCTAACCCATACCTTTGCACTGACACATATCTCTGCACTGACACATACCTCTACACTGACACATACCTCTGCACTGACACATACCTCTGCACTGACACATACCTCTGCACTGACACATACCTCAGCAATATCACATTCCTCTACACTGACACATACCTCTTAATTGACACTTACCTCTGCATTAACACATACCTCTGCATTGACGCATATCTATGCATTGACACATACATATGCATTGACACATACTTTTGCATTAACACATACCTCTGCATTGACACGCAACTATGCACTAACACTTACTTCAGCACTTACACGCCACTCTGCACTGTCCGTGTAAGGGTACACAAACTTCAGCACGCACACGTACGTTCGTTGCGTTACGTCAGTACCGACACATACCTCTGCATTGACACATACTTCTGCACTGACCCATACCTTTGTACCGACAAATACCTCTGCATTGACACGCAACTATGCAGTGACACTTACCTCTGTACTTACACGCCACTCTGCAGTGACATGAACCCTTACACAGACAAGTATATCAGCACGCACAGGTACATTAGTTGCGGTATCTCTGCACGGAGACGTTGCGGTACCTCAGCACGGACACGTTGCGGTACCTCTGCACGGACACGTTGCGGTACCTCTGCACGGACACGTTGCGGTACCTCTGCACGGAACGTTGCGGTACCTCTGCACGGACACGTTGCGGTACCTCTGCACGGACACGTTGCGGTACCTCTGCACGGACACGTTGCGGTACCTCTGCACGGACACGTTGCGGTACCTCTGCACGGACACGTTGCGGTACCTCTGCACGGACACGTTGCAGAACCTCAGCACGGACACGTTGCGGTACCTCTGCACGGACACGTTGCGGTACCTCTGCACGGACACGTTGCGGTACCTCTGCACGGGCACGTTGCGGTACCTCTGCACGGACACGTTGCGGTACCTCTGCACGGACACGTTGCGGTACCTCTGCACGGACACGTTGCGGTACCTCTGCACGGACACGTTGCGGTACCTCTGCACGGGCACGTTGCGGTACCTCTGCACGGACACGTTGCGGTACCTCTGCACGGAACGTTGCGGTACCTCTGCACGGACACGTTGCGGTACCTCTGCACGGAACGTTGCGGTACCTCTGCACGGACACGTTGCGGTACCTCTGCACGGAACGTTGCGGTACCTCTGCACGGACACGTTGCGGTACCTCTGCACGGAACGTTGCGGTACCTCTGCACGGACACGTTGCGGTACCTCTGCACGGAACGTTGCGGTACCTCTGCACGGACACGTTGCGGTACCTCTGCACGGAACGTTGCGGTACCTCTGCACGGACACGTTGCGGTACCTCTGCACGGAACGTTGCGGTACCTCTGCACGGACACGTTGCGGTACCTCTGCACGGAACGTTGCGGTACCTCTGCACGGACACGTTGCGGTACCTCTGCACGGAACGTTGCGGTACCTCTGCACGGACACGTTGCGGTACCTCTGCACGGAACGTTGCGGTACCTCTGCACGGACACGTTGCGGTACCTCTGCACGGAACGTTGCGGTACCTCTGCACGGACACGTTGCGGTACCTCTGCACGGAACGTTGCGGTACCTCTGCACGGACACGTTGCGGTACCTCTGCACGGAACGTTGCGGTACCTCTGCACGGACACGTTGCGGTACCTCTGCACGGAACGTTGCGGTACCTCTGCACGGACACGTTGCGGTACCTCTGCACGGAACGTTGCGGTACCTCTGCACGGACACGTTGCGGCAGTAGGCGGTCTGGCTGTGCGCGGCGGGCGCGTCGGCTCCGCACGCCACGCACAGGTCGGGGTCGCACTCTCGCACGCCCAGGTAGCACGGGCACTGCTTCGTGTTGCACTGCGCCTTGCACCGGCACCCCGGGAACCGGTTCTGACCTGTAATACGTAAATATTTCTTAATCTTTACTCACACGGCCCTACTTGTAATCATTTACTATCGCTTACTTTACAATTTACATAAATATTAATTATTATCTGTCTCTTTCTACTGTTTTTTAAGTTATGACGAGTGTTCCTGTGACACACAAGCGCACTTCTTGCAGAAGTTTTTCTAGAGTATTATACCATTTAAGAATCTTGATTAGTTGCGTCAATTTTTAAAAAAACTTGCCATAGTAATGTCGGTACTTTTTTTTTACACCACGATGAGTGAAAGTGGACTGAAAGTAAAAATCTTTCAAAAATAATTTTGATTGAATTTTGTGTAAAAACTACATGTATTCTGGGATTTATAAGGGTTGTGGTAGATAGCAGTACTACTAAGGTTGCCGATACAAAAAAAAAAAAAACAAAAAAAAAAATTAAAAATGTGCTCATGGTAGTTAAAAATAGTCGGGGTATCGATTTTCGAAGAATTTCAATTTTTTTGTAATTTCAAAAACGATTAGATTTTTTTCTTTTTATTTTTTCTCGAGTAGTCATGAGCAGGTCCACCCTCTGGTGCCCGTTTATCGTTGAATTTTGGGACATGTTGTATATACAAACATAAAATAAATAAATATACATACAATATACCCACGAACACACTTACATACACACATTATATAAAATTCCTTATATGTCAATTAGCGAATTGGACATCTAAATTGAGATGCTACTACGGGATACCCTAAATTGAGATGCTACACGGATACCAACATAAACAATAAAGATTAATTGTCTACTCCTGTCAAAGAATGTACTATCTTTAGTTTAAATGTATTTTTTGAATGGATAAATGGGTCAATATGAGAGAATTTACTGTTAAAAATTTTAACCATTTTGGTGAGGACACTATTCTTGCCATAATTAGTATGATGTAAGGGAACACTGAATAAATACGGAACCATCATGTCTGAGCGCTTACAAGTGGACGTAGTCTACACTGATTACAGTAAAGCATTCGACCGCTTAGATCACGTTATACTTCTCAGCAAACTACTCGAAGTAGGTATCAGCGGCGATCTGTTTAGGTGGTAAACCACGTCTTATATTGAGAATCGTTGTCAGACAGTAGTACTCAATGGTTACACATCAGCAACTGTGCAAATCCCTTCAGGTATACCGCAGGGATCACTATTAGGTCCATTGCTGTTTGCGATTTTTATAAATGATATAGGTTCCTGTTTTACTTACTCCAAAATAATCCTATACGCTGACGACATAAAAATTGTATGCCCCATCACAAATACTTCTGACTGCTTTGGTCTGCAGCGTGCTCTCAATGAACTTGAACGATATTGTTCACACAACAAACTTGACTTGAATGTGTCCAAGTGTTTTATCTTTACATTTACCTGTAAACCCAATCCCATTTTCTTTCACTACAAATTACAAAACACTAGTATAGAGAGATTACAATTAGTAAAGGATCTTGGTGTATTTTTCGATTATAAATTACTCTTTCATGCACATATTGAGAATATGATTAAAAAAGCCAATAGAGCACTTGGATTCCTTTTGAGATTTTCCACCGATTTTCATAATATTAAAACATATAAGATACTTTATTGTGCTCTTGTTCGCAGCCATTTAGAGTACGCCTCTCAAGTGTGGAACCCAAATTATAACATTTATATAGATAGGATTGAGCAAGTACAAAAGCGTTTTCTACGTTTTCTGCAATTTAAAACGCAATTTTACACTGATAACTACATTTCGCGATGTAAAAAATTTCATATTTTGCCTCTGCACGAACGTAGGCGCATAGCAGATATGATTTATCTTTTCAAATTGGCAAATGGTAATGTTGACTGTCCGGAGCTACTGAGTAAGCTAGGATTTACAACAAGAGGTACCCTCTTAAGAAAGCCTCGCTTACATCACGTGCCGCATACCCGGAATAAATACAGACAAAATTCTTTTATGATACGTGCATGCAGAACTTTTAATGACATTTCCAATAGCGTTAACTTGGATCTGTTTAATACCAGTGTTTCTCAATTAAAAAAATATTTTAGCGCAAAAATTCTTTTGTTGAGTGTTCTTCTGTTTAATTTTGTTAATTTACTTTATTTGTCTTAATCGATGTTTATCTTTTACCGACTAGAATTATTGTTTTTAAGTTCATATTGCTTATAGGTGAAAACTTTTAAATGGCCTTCTAGTTGTTATTCATTTATTTATTGTTAATATTAGCTGTAAGTTTTCCAAAAAGAATAAAATAAAATAAAATAAAGGTGTATGTCTAGTCCTACGTCGGGGCACATTAAAGGAGATCTGTGAAAGCAGAACAGGGCAATCAAGTTCAGCGCGTAAAATATCAAACAAAAAACCCATGTCTAACATCTCACGGCGTTCTTCTAACGTAAAGAAGATTAAATTTACGACAATTATCACTGTAAGACATGAATGTATGCGTGGTGACGTTGCACCTGAAATTTAGAGATTTTAAAAACTTTTTCTGAATACGCTCTATGCGTGCTTTATAAACTTCGTATAAAGGTGACCATACCGGACTAGCGTATTCCAATATGCTTCTCACGTCTGCAAAATATAACGTTATTAATGCTAAAGTACTTTTAAAAGGTTGACAGGTTCTTAGAACAAATCCAAGCATACGGTAAGCTCTATCTGCTATATTATCATAATGCATATTAAGGATCATCTTGGAGTCAAAACAAACGCCGGGATCACGTACATCATTGACTCGTGTTAATACTTGATTATTAAAGTTATAAGAAAAAACAATTGGATTTTTCTTGCGTGTAAAGTTTATAATCTGACATTTTTTAATATTGACATAGATCTTATTTTGTTGATAAAAAGAAAACAAGTTATCCAAGTCATATTGTAACAATCTACAATCTTCAACAGAACGAACTGACCGGTATATTTTTTTATCATCCGCATATAATAGGTGATTAGAATGAGAAAAACAGTTGGCAATGTCAAAGATGTACGTATTGTAGAATAGCGGGCCAAGGTGCGATCCCTGTGGGACACCCGAGGGAACAGTTACATAATCGGATCTGTATCCACCCAGTACTACAGCCTGAGAGCGATTAGAAAGATAGGAGCTCACCCACCGGAGTAGGTATCCTTGAATTCCAAGCAAATAGAGCTTGTGGAGCAGAAGGTCGTGGTCTACACGATCGAAGGCTTTTTCAAAATCAGTGTAGACCACGTCCACCTGACCACCATTCTCCATATGCAGGAGGACATAACTCGAAAACAGAGACAAATTCGATACCGTAGATCGCCCTTTTATGAAGCCATGCTGTGTTTCAGGAATACCACGGATTATAATGGGGTAGATGAAACTGTAAACGATTTTTTCGAAAAGTATACTGATAGTGTTCAAAATTGAAATCGGACGATAATTTTCAATTGAGGTTTTTGGTCCTTTTTTATGTATGGGAATTATATTTGCTGTTTTCCTTAAATCTGGGAAAATACATTCATCGTGAGAACGACGAAACAGAATAGTAATAGGCAATGACTGTGTTAGATGGGTGAACTCATACTCTGATGTGTATAGACTTGAATGTGGGGTGAGGCAAGGTGGTCTTACATCTCCTAGGCTTTTCAATTTGTATGTCAATGGCCTGATCGAGGAGTTGAGCGGCACAAATGTCGGCTGTCATATTGATGGTGTTTGTGTTAACAACATAAGTTACGCAGACGATATGGTGCTACTCAGCCCTTCGATTGGTGCCATGCAGAAATTATTAAATATATGTGAAACATATGCAGTGTCCCATGGACTCGGATACAATGTGAAAAAGAGCGAGTTTATGATGTTCAAGGCGGGAGTGAAATCCCGATCATGTGCGACTACCTTCACACTCAACAACTCACCTCTAAAGCGTGTCTCACATTTTAAGTATCTGGGTCACTGGGTCACCGAGGATCTGCGTGATAATATGGATATCGAGCGGGAACGTAGGGCGCTGTCCATTAGGTGTAACATGGTGGCCCGTAGGTTTGCTCGTTGCAGTAGGCAGGTAAAGATTACTATTTTCAAAGCCTACTGCCAGTCTTTTTACACGGGCAACCTATGGGTTAACTATACGCAGCGGGTATACAGCGCGTTGCGTGTCCAGTATAATAATGGGTTTAGGATGCTGATGGGGCTGCCGCGCTTTTGCAGCGCGTCAGTAATGTTTTCTGAAATGCGCACTGATGGTTTCCACGCCATTATTAGAAAGCGTGCTGCATCGATGCTGAAACGTTTGCGTGGCAGCTCCAATAGCCTTCTCAACACAATGGCAGATAGGTGGGACTCGCCGCTGCTTGAGCGCTGGATACGGCTACATGCCACGGTATAAGTCACCGGTACCCTCGTGGCGGCTGGTCTCAAACATCTCCATTTACATTTTACATTTTGTCATCATTATTTATGTAAATTAATTTAATTACTAACACTATAATTTAAGTTTTATTTCATTTCACTGTTACTAACATTCTTGTATGGGTCCTGTGTTGCCTGAAATAAATATATTTTATTTTTATTTATTTTATTTTATTTATTATTTAATGACAAGCTATCAGCACATGAAACCAATACAATAGGGGGAATACCATCGGTTCCAGGTCCCTTAGATTTATCAAGTGATTTTAGGAATTTAAGAACTATTTCTCGAGTAATATGTATGTGGGATAGTGAGTCCGTGGTGGAGTACTCAGAAACGTGATAAGGCTGAGTTTGGCTACTTGATGATGGTGTAATAAAAACACTTTCAAAAAATTTATTAAAAGCTGAGCAAATACTTGCACCTTACTCATATTTCTGATCTCCCAGTGTAAACTGTCTTGGGTAACTGGAACAGCCTTTTTTTGAACTGACAAAGTGTTTAGGATTGGACCTAATATATTGTTCAGCATTGTTAGTAAAAAATTTAAAACAATTAAATTGAACGCTCTTAAAAGCGAAAATTCATCATAATCTCGTACGT